CAAGTGGACAACTTTAGAGGGAAAGGTATGGAACTATCGACTACACCACTGATCTACTAGTTTTACCGCAAATAAGCCTTTCCAAATTTAAAGGGTAATTTAGGAAGAGCGCGGACACTTATCAAGTGCCGCTATGGTATTAATTAGGCACGAGTGGAATATGATGTGGAGCATGCTTTATGTAAAGATAAAACAACACGTTTTCAAATATTTTGGATAATGAAAATAGTAAATGATACATTAAATGAAACGTAAAAACATAAAAAGAAAGGAAAACAAGAAGAAGTTAGTTCGCGTAATGTGGAAGTTGTAATAAAGTAAGCGAGGGAGTAAGGGTGGGAAGAGACATGATGTAGCAATTCTTAAAAAAGACTTGGAGCAGGCAAACATGACTAGAAATAAAGGAAAACACATGTTATAACCAAGTTGAGTAGAGATTTGCATATTAATACGAATTCAAATAAAAGGGAGGACGGGGGAAAGGTGTGCATGCAATAATAAAAGGAAAATGGGAGCGGGATATTCATGTAACAGCAAAATAATAAAAGACATGTTTGTCAGAGAAGACTAATTCATACAAATCAAATTTGCTATGGTAAGAGCCTAAAAATATCCCCAGCAGAGTCGACATGCTGTCGCGCCCCCTTTTATCGCAAAATCGGGTTTTGACATGTGAAAACTCTTTTAAGTAGGTGCTAAAAGAGAGAGTCACCACCTAACGGTTTTAAGGTGCGTTAGGGCACCTATTTACGGATAACTCTGGTTTAACTAGTTTCATCCCCAAAGATCGGGTAAGTGCTCAAATTACCTCGAACAAAAAGTGTTAGGCACTTTTTGAGGTCCACAACTGTGGGTCCCGGTCAAACTCAAATTATATGGATTAGTCAGATAAACAAAGATAGAGAGAAACAAGCAGTTTGGGCAGTTTTATTATCAAAAGACTTAGAATAAATACAAATACTTGATTTAAAGACAAGATGGGTGTCCTAAGTTTTTTAGCCTAAAGGATCACCCCGTGCAACATAAATAATACTCCGTAACTCCCTCGAGATGGGGTGCTACTCGTATTATTCAGCGGGCACACACTATCATCTCCTGCTACCCTATTAATATCTTTAAGTTTGTTACCTAGAGCGCACTAATTGATTCTAAATCGTGCCTTATGCATGCACTACCCGTCTCATGCCTATGGCCAGAAGGCTTTGGACCTACTATTTGGATAGTTCTAGTCTTTACTCAGGTTTCTCAAAAATGATAAATCTAAGCGACATTCAAAACATTTAGGACTACACATAAGGGCAGTAAATGGCTCAAGTTAGCCTCCACATGTACACAACAAAATGCACGCCAACAGGTTCGTAGTGAGGCAATAGACAATTCCAGAATTAAGACGAAATAGAGTCTTTAGATCCTAAAGTCATGGCTTCTATGTGATTCTAAATTTTAACTATGCACACAATGTTGCTTCTTAGGTTAACAACTTTGCGTATCGCAAGCATTATAAATCCTTTAGGCATGCTTTCTAATTTTGTTCGCGAAATAAGGTAGTGAAGTAGTTCGATAGTTCAAATTGCTAGCGTTTGATTTTATGAACACACTTTTAGGCAAACAACATGGTCCTATAGGCAGGATTTCTAAGAATTGGCAATTGAAACCGGTTATTTAATCTTTCATTCCTATAGGCATGCTCTCTAGGCGAGCAATACGATGGGAATAACAGTAATAGTATTATATTCCTATAGGCATGATATCTACGTGACTATTGTAAAGAGCAGGTATTTATCACTCAATGTAATCCTATAGGCATAATATCTAACATGAAGCAATTTGAACGAATAATTACTGTGTTGCAGCATAGTAGGCAGATAATAACGTGAGACTGGAACATGTGAACATGTGAGATTATTTATGTCCTATAGGCATGTTATCTAACAAACACATAGAAGCAGAGCATGTTGAACAAATTAAACACTCAGATCCTATAGACAAGATTTCTACCCTTTTATGCAAACATTAGAATAGACTCATTTTTCCAATTTTACTAATACCCCAATTGTTATTACATAATTATTACATGCCCATTAATGAATAAAATTATAGAATGGTACAAATAACTATAGTGGGCCTAAGACAAGCCTAAAATGAACCCAGCCCAGCCAGGCCTTCAATTTCGTCTCCACACAGATTTCAATACAGCCCAAAAATCATAAGAGAACTTAGATTATGCCCAACAACCATAGTTGATCAAAAGATCCAAGAAAACAGTCATTTACACAAGCCAGTTGGCCTATTTAGTAGGCAAAGGAGAGGCAGAATTGAGTAACCCAGAAAAGTGGCCAAAGGACCTTAGGCCCTAGTGTGTCAGAGTTCACAAGGGCCTCAAAATGGACCCCGAAAAGTGCTCACACTAGGGAGGTTAATAGAGAAGTTTTAGGGGGCCTTAGCTTTCAGCCGACAAAGAATTAGAGACTCGAAATAGGGAAGCAACCAATGAAAATAATAGTAAAGTAATAAGGTTTGGAAAAGTGCATTTACAAACATTACAAAGTGATCACATAATGAACATGTCAACACAGAGGGTGAATGAATTCAAGAAAACAAGTTAATACTGCAAGTTTTCACTTAACATATTGGGACATGGTTACATATTAATAAGAAGCGAGGAGCCTAAAGCTTATGGGGTTACAAAGTTAATAGGAAGGGAGCATTAGGCTAGTAAGACAAACAGTTATCACTAATGCAACAAATTCAAAACCTAAAGGATCAAATCATGATAAACACAGGGATTAAACAATACAACTTATACCGGCAAGGCAGATAGAATCACATATTATAGGGGAAAACAAGTCAGGAAAGACTAATCTAAGATAATTAGCTATTAGGGGTAGGGTAAGATCATACTAAGTGACAAACATAGTCATAGGAGTAAATTACAACTAGAGTGAGGGTCTCAATACAGATTAGGGCATAAAGTAATCACTATAGAAATTCAGAATAAAGCAGGAAATAGGATGAGGCCATATAGCCAATGCAAACACTCAAATTATCCATACATTAAGCTAAGCATGCTTCGAAATGTCCAAATTACCTAAGTTAAATACAACTACATTTTTAGGTACAACAGTTTAGGCGTGAGACAATGCTGGAGAAGTTCATGCTATAGGCAGAATCACACATGAAGAGAGTCAAGGAATTATATCAAGTCATGCAATTTCAGAAAAACACATATATGCTAATTAGAACATAATGGAATAAACATTGCGAAAGTTAAGAACTAACCAATTATTTCTCAACAAACAAGAAAAGAACAACAATATGACCCAGAATCCCAGATTCGTCAAGTTCCCAAGGTTCAAAGAACCTAGGGCAGCGCGCTCACACCCAAGGAAGGTCGGAAAGCAGGAAATCCGATGGCCTTGGCTTTCAGCCGGCCAAGAGCCAAAATATAACAAGAGAATAAACGAACACAGAGTAAAAGACTTAGATTTTTAGTGGGAAATTTAGTGATTGAAGTCTGTCTAAAAGGGAATGGGGGAGGGGTTTATATAGTAGTAAAATCGAACTGTAAACAGGGGAGACAGAGTAATTTAAGCAACAACTAAAGTAAATAAACATGCAAATAAGTCCAAAAATCAATTTAAGAGATCTGTAAACCCTAGTTTTTAGGGAAAGTGAAAATCAATAGAATATAAACAAATAATCAGACTTACAATAGCATAGGACGAATATAGACAGAATAATACTCAAAATCAGGGATTGAACCAATTTTTGTTCGATTTCGGAAGAGATCTACTTGCCATGTTTAGGCAAGCACTTAGGTAATACTATATGATATCAGCCGGTACCAAAAAGGGGTCGAATATGACAAGAAGTAACAATCAAATCCCATATTCAGTGGGATTAGGATAAGATTTGGGGGGCGGAGGTTTTAGGGTTCTTCATAGAGGGAGGGGAGGTTGAGAGAATGTGAGGGCAACGGGTTAGGGGGATAATAGGTTATGGTTTCTGGGAGGGTAATTAAAAGGAAGAGAATAATGGGTACCGACCGGGTTTTGGGTTAGGGGTTGTTTGGTTTGGGTTGGGGTTATTGGGCTAGAGTATTGGGGGGTTTTGGGCCATTCATTTGGTCCAAAATTGTTTAGAATTTGGGGCTAGTTTTTAAATACCCAATATTTATCAAAAAATAATTTACTAAAGTAATTAATAAATAACAAAATATTATTTCTGCACTAAAATGATTGAAAATAGTAACTTAACATTATAGAAAATACAAAAAGTTATTTTGGCACAAGTAATTATACATGAATATAGGCTATTATTGCAAAAAATATGCAATTAGCCTAAAAATGCAGATGTAATTATGAAAATTGAAGTAAAATATTTAAAAACATACATGTTGGTGTAAGTAATAAGTTTGGATCATCATACAAAATAAATTGAAGGATAATTATTGGATATTTATATAAAAAATATAAAAATAAATTAATTTAGGGCTTCTAAAATTATGAAAAATTATGAAAAATGTTTGTATAGGTTTGTAGACTAAATAATTATGGAAATATACTATTTTGAAAGTATATATATATATATATATTTTAAAAATATGAGGAAATAATTAAGTATCAACATGCGCACAACCTTGAGATTCGAGGAGATTAGCCTCACTTCGAGGACTCAATCAGTGACCACCATAATGAGGGAAATGACTCCATACCAGTGCATGATAGGAAGTACCCTCGATAGGTTCAGGGGGCAACTCCTGTTGATGCCACTACAATAAAAAGGGACTTTAGCGACAATTATTTAGTAGCAATACATTAATTGCCGCCAATTTATTTGCGGAAGGCAAATCTTAGTGGCCAATAAATATTAATCGGTAAATATTATAATTTTAGTGGCCATTCAAGAAAATAGACGGTAAAAGTATTATTTTTACTTTTGGTATTCCCTCCAATTTCTAAATTTTCCTCTAAATTCTCTACCGCGTAAATATTATACCCTCTCATACCTAGAAATTAGATTAAAGAAAAACAACTCATACGGCCACTGACAGTTTGCTCTCTAAATCTCCATCGGGCAACCCAATTGCCGGCCACCATCAAAATTCTTGGTAAGTATCTCTATTTATCTTTAGGTTTTCAATTGGGTAGGTCTATGGGTTGATGCAAATTTTTAATTGCTGGGTGTATGGTTTTGATAGCCGAAGATTTAATTCTTGAATGAGAATTTTCTTAGTATCTTTTCTAATTTATGGGTAATGGGCTTTAGAACGTTTCCGTTGTGAGAAGGCCTTTAGGCATGGCATAATACCATAAAGATTTTTTTGATGTAGGACAGTGGGAAGCAGTTTCTAGAGCTCAAAGTGTTTTAAGATAGGTAATGTGGCATAGAGAATATTTTAGCGTAATATATGCTTGAAAATGACTAAGAATGGCTGTTTGGGGGTGCTAATAAACGGTCAAAGTTAAGCAACAGAAAGAAATGCTGAAAAGAAATGCTTGATTGATTACGCTTAGATCTCTCAGGCTTCTTCACAGCTTAAAGCTTGAGTCCTTTCAAACAAACTTAAAACAAGGCACTAGTTCTAAAAGAAATTCTATGTTTCTCTACTGAAAAGCATTTGAATTATGTTAGATTCCATAAACCCACTAGAAAATAAGTTCTATTATTTATCACATTATATTTGAACAAGTTAAGATAACTAAAATACTGATTTGACTAGAGTTAATTTGAATGTAATTAGACATAGTCTTATGTTAGACTCCATGAACCTACTAGCAAATAAGTTCATTATTTATCACATTATATTTGAGCAGTTTAAGATAACTAAGGCACTTATTAGAGCAGAGTTAATTTGTATGTAATTAGACATAGTCTTGAGTCATAAAGGTATGTTTTATAGAGCAATGGTCAAATGTGTAATTTTCTTTACTGTTGCTTTAAAAAGTTATTGAGGCATCGCTGTTGTTTAACTCTCAATCTGCTCTTTTCATGTAGGTTTCGAGATTGTTACTGACATCGTTCTTCTCCTTCACTTTTTATCTTAATCATCAAAGTATTCTGCTTACCAGGTACCCAAACACTTGAGCCTAAGCCAATTTGTGATGTCTAACTATGGCAATTTGTGAGATAATTTATTTGTGTCAGCTATGTTGTAATTTGTGATCTTTTGGATGTTGTTAAATTGGCGGACAACTGGTTGAATTGATTATTTTGTTTTTCCTAATGCTATATATTTACTTTCGATTGTTTTAAGCTATTTATATAGCAGACTATACTTAAAGAAAATTCTGTTAATTTAAGTGTAAAGTAATTCTATGTGAATTGTGGATTTAAGTGGATATGAACTATGCAGTTTGTTAGTTTTCGAGATCTCTTCGTGTTAATGCTCTATTGATTTGATTATGTTAATTTTTTCCAGATATATTTGTGACTTGAATTCTGTTATAAAGATACTGTTAGTTCTAGTTTCGTCTTTTGCACTTTAAATCATGAAAGTATTAATTATTGATTGATATGCTAGGTGAATGTCTTCTAAGATTTGCTACTTATTAATAAAAGAAATGATCAATTTTAAATCTATTTATTTAAATATTAAACCCTCCCAGCTGGAATGATAAGTTAGTTTCTGTTAAGTTCACCTACCGATAGTCAGTAATGCAAGTGTTAATTTAATTTGTGTTTTCTTATGTCTCACGTATCATGTTCATAGGTTCTGTCGTTATTTTTGAATTAAAACTAGAATTTTATTTCATGTCCAAAGTGCCGAATCTAAGTTAGCAGTCTGAAGTGTCTCACTTTATGAATTAGAAGGGATAATCTTAAGGAAAACTCTTATTTAACTGAATTACATGTGTAGCAAGAGAATATATATTTTATTTTTATAAATTCTTCTAATGCAAAGACATCTACCATGCTTACCTGTCTCAATGAACCTTTTAAGAGTCCATGCTCGCTTTCTTCTTGCTGGTTCAAGATACTTCCCAAACACTAAGCCGTTGTTTTCCCCTATAATTTTAGTTGTTAGATTCTTGTTACTAAAATCAGTTCGTTTTCTCTGTCGGTTCATACATTCTCAAGATTCTCCAAATGATGGCGAAGCTAATATTGAGAGAAGAAATAACATTGGAAATGAAAGAGATTCTGAATAAGATAGGTGGTAATTATAAAATATTATTTTGCAAGTGTTATTTAAGAACTTCTACGAATCTTTATAATGCAAAAATTTGAATAAATATAATTTCTGCTTTCAATTTGAGTCATTCTATAGAAGATGAGTTAGTTAGCTATGAATTTTCCATATTTGTATTGGTTGATTATTAGTTGATTTGAGTGAATTCTTTGTTCTTTCTTTTACTTATATTTTGCTGCTTGTAGCCCTTGTATTGCAATATCCTAAGGTTTTATAATCATTGGACAATTGTTTTTGTTGGTGAATCAATACCTTTTATCTCTTGAACTGTCTTTGTCGCAAGGCTTTGTTTTTGTACACGAATTAGAATTCTTGAAGTCATCAGATGATTCAGATCTTTTAATTCTAGATAATTCAGAAGCCAAAAAGGTTCATGGGCCTACTTTATTATAAGATATTTGGAAACTTCCGCCGGGGAAGACAGTTGATGTGCCGTTTAATAATCGTAACCATGCTATTGGGAAAGAGAGTCGAAAACTTGCTAGCTTTCTAGGAATTATTGCAAGAACTCCAGAACTAACACCTCTACATGTAGATGATTGGAGAAACTTTAACAACACGGAAAAGAAGAAATTGGTGGATTTTGTGAGGGTATGGAGTAGTTATTATGATTTTGCCAAGATAATCGTAAGATTTATTTTTTATTTTATTTTATAAATTTGGAAATATTTAGAACATGAGAAATATTGTGGCTTTTGTTCATGTTTCTTCATTCATTCAAAGATGTTAGGCATAAACTTCCCCGTTGCTATGGTTGTCCAAAAGAAAAAATATTGATTTATTCATGAATTTTAATTTTTATTCTTAGGGAATTTGCATTTGCTGGTGATTAAAAAAGGCATCTTCACGGTTACACAGTTTCGCAATTTGCTACGCACGTGATCAATATTATTGTTCACTTGGTCAATGAACTTCATTTTTTCTCAAAGAAGTGAAAGAAGTTATTGAATAAAGTATAGGTCAATGACTCATACGAGACCATAATAGCTTATGAGAGACAGCCTTAAATAGCTAAGGTAAACGAGTATCACAAACATCAAGGATACATAATATTGCTGAAAATGGTCAACCTTCTCACGGTACTACTCATCTTTGTCCTTCCTTTCTATTGTTTGAGTTTTCCTTCTTGAGTTTTTGTTACTTTTTTGTTGGAGTTGGGCTTACCTTGGATGCTTCTTACTTTTATATATTTCCTTTTCCCATAGTTGTTGATGTCATAACTATTTGAAGAATTTCTACATCATTCCAAAAGAATATGGACGTAGATTGGTCGTCATTTTTATTACTAAAGTGTCATCCGAATTACACTGATTTTTCAATTAGGGGTTATTTGTCTTATTTATTTTTCTCCATAATGATAATTTGGGGTGGTCTTATTAAAGTTAGAATTGCGGGCCTAAGGCATCAAATATTCTATGGTCGAGATACCTCAGAAGATCATCTCGAAGCCTCGAGGCTACAAGGCTATGGTCGAGTTTCCTCCCTCGAGGTTCGTCGACGCCCGACCTTGGGACAATGTTGACCACGGCTATAGTAGAAATGAGGAGTTCCTAAGGTACACGGCTAGGACTGACAGAGCCTAGTGGACTACCCTAACCCTAAATTAGGGTATCATCTAGCTGTCCCATCTCCGCTTCTTTGTCATTAATATATTTTGTACTATGTTGGAATTCCCCTTCTATGTAAAGGGGATCCTTGTCATTTTGTAGACCTCTATTGCTTCAGTCGCTCCACACAAAATATATAAGAAGATTTGCTCTGCTCTCTAACACATTCTCTTTATATTATTGATTCCATTTATTATCTTCATTATTGTTCATCATTTATTGCTTATCATTGGCCATAAAGAGCCTTCGTTGATTTTATTATAACTGTTAGTCATACCTCGATCACGTTCGATAGCTCACAGTTGAGCTCCGGAATCGACCTCGAGGCCCCCGAATCGACAAGCTCGAGTCCCCGATTTGTTAACCTATCGGTTTGGTTATCGCCTTATCCTTAACTCCTATTTCGCTTCTAAGTCTCAGATACATAGTATCAACTGCTTACCAACTAGCATAAAAATAAATCACGTATTTTTAAAGTCCCATAATCAAATTTAATTATTATTACCACTTTTACGGTAAATAGTTTGGCGCCCACCGTTGTGCTAAAAATAATATTGATTATTTTCTTGCTGGTTTTACTACATAACGCAAGTTATCTTTCACGCTTTCTCTTGTCCAAGATCTTCGATTTCAGGTCGAAATGTCTAACTCAATGAATGGAGGTGAAAACAACAATCTTGAGGACCACAGAGAAAACGGTGTGGCTGCTCCAGGTGTTGGTGTGCCACCACGAAACCTTGAGAACACACCAGGACCAATTTTGGCAGACGCAGTCTCGCACGACGCCCAACAGGCCGATATAAGCTCGCACACCAACAAGAGTGAACCAAGGAGATCAACAAGAAGCTCAGAAAACCCCAACTAGGGAAGAACGGGAGGTTAGTCTTCATGTTATTTTTGAAATGTTGCAGGCACAACAACTGGCTATTGCTCAGCTACAAAGTCACCAGAAAACTCCTAGCATGGTAGCACCAGGGACAACTCCCCCAGCCAAACAGGTACCAGAGAGATCGAGCAATAACGGGTCGATGACCGATCCCGTCATCATAAAAATGCTCGAGAACCTCACCAGAAGGATCGAATCAGGCAAGAAAAGAATAGAAGCCAACGACAAAAATGTCGAGACCTACAACTCCAGGGTCGACCAAGTTCCGAGCACACCCCCGATCCTAAAAGAGGTATATTCGAAGAAGTTCATACAAAGGTCATTCCCAGATGAGGTAGCTCCAAAACCCATCCTACAGAAGTTCAGAATGCCATACCTTCCGAAATACAACGAAACCTCGGATCCCAACGAGCATGTCACCGCCTACACTTGTGCGGTAAAGGGCAACGACCTAAGGGACGACAAGATCGAGTCCGTACTACTGAAGAAATTTGAGGAAATACTTTATAAAGGGGAAATGATGTGGTATCACAACCTGGCCCCAAATTCTGTAGACTCATTTGCCATGTTGGCGGATTCCTTAATAAGGGCACATGCTGGAGCCATCAAGTGGCCACGAGGAAATTTGACGTCCTCAAAATTAAGAAAATGGAGAATGAGATGCTGCAAGAATTTGTATCTCGCTTTCAAATAGAACAAATGGAACTACCACCGGTATCCAACGACTGGGCAGTGCATGCCTTCACTCAAGGTCTGAATGAACGAAGCTCGGTGGCTTCAAAGCAGTTGAAATAGAATTTGGTCAAGTATCCCGCTGTGACCTGGTCGGACGTCCATAACCGATACCAATCAAAGATCAGGGTCGAAGATGACCAGCTAGGGGCCCCCTCGGGCTCAGTATACCCAAGCAAGCTTCTAGCGAAGGAGCCAAAGCCAAACAAAGAAATATATTAGTCGTACATCGAAGATAGAAGGAACGCCCCGAGGCGCAACCCACCTCGCAACGATCGAAGGATAGACCGAGGATAGAATCCTCGGGGACTCATTAACAAAGCCAGATTTGATAGAAACGTAGGGCTAACGGAGGCACCTCGCTTATCAGAATACAACTTCAATGTCAATGTATCAGACATCGTGTCTCCATCAGTAAAATCAAAGATGCCAGTTGGCCTAGGCCTGTACAATCAGATCCTTCACAAAGGAATCATAACTTAGTGTGTGAATTCCACAACACGCACGACCATAGGACCGAGGATTGCTACCAGCTCCAAGAAGAGGTAGCCCGACTACTTAACAAAGATCATCTCCGGGAATTCCTCAGCGACCGAGCCAAAAATTAGTTCCAGGAAAGAGATGCGGCCAAGAAAAATGAAACGAATGAGCCGCAACATGTCATCCACATGATCTTGGGAGCATCGATGCCCCACATGAACCCGTAATGAGGAGGACAAAAATATCCATCACCAGAGAAAAGCGAACCTGGGGGTACATACCCGAGGATGCCCTCCCATTCAGCAAAGAGGATACTGAGACCTTGTCTCAACCGCACAATGACGCACTGGTAATCTCTTTCCTCGTAAATACATTTCAAATAAAACGTGTACTCGTGGATCCAGGTAACTCGGCTAACATTATCAGGTCGAGGGTAATAGAGCAGCTCAGACTGCTTGACCAAATCATGCCCGCCACTCGAGTCCTCAACGTAGTCAACATGGCAAGTGAAACAATGAAAGGAGAAATCACCCTCCCAGTCAACGCGGCCGACACAACCCAAAAAGTCAAATTCCATGTCATCGAAGGAGACATGAGGTAAAACGCCTTGTTCGGGAGGCCGTGGATACACTGCATAAGAGCAGTACCATCCACCCTCCACCAAATGATGAAATTCCCGACAAAGGATGGAATTAAAACCGTCTACAGGGAACAACATGCGGCAAGACAAAAGTTCTCGAACAAGATGTGGAGCCGGCACCAACACCTCCACCCGCGAAGGGGCCAAAGGGTAATCAAACTACATCTTCGGTTTATCCCGATTAAACAAAGCAAAGGACCGTACCGCGTCCTCATCACAAACGAGTAGAACATATTGGACCTCAAAATGTCACTGGCGCATCCTACACTAAGGTATAACCCTCTCCCTTTTCCATTTTTATTTCACACTAACCCTTACGCAGGAGCCCGACCGAAGTAGTCAAAGCGCTAGCCCACCCCAAAGACCTTAAGGTTTCAAAGCATCCGTTGCACTCTTTTCCTTCGATCAAGTTTTTGTCCCGAAAAGGGTTTTACCGGCAAGGTTTTTAATGAGGCAACATACACATGATATATAAGGACGACTCGACAAGTATTCAAGGCTTCTTTTGCAATCAACCTCGAACACTGGGGGCATCCCCCGGAAGGTCATCCGCTCGGAAAAGCTAAGAAATGCCAAATGGGGTCCCAATAGGAAAATGATGTACCGGGCCAAATGGTCGAACGAATCATGTCCATATAGTTGGGCCCCCGACGGAAAAAACATGTACACTTGTACCAAGTAATCGAAGAATATCTTTTATCAAAGCATCTCACACTCCAAAAGAAACTCGACACCTTTACGAAAATGACTCCTCCGACAAAATGTCCAGAGCACTCGGGGACTAGCGTCAACAATTCAACACCTGAACAACCTCCGGATTGGGACTCCAAACTCATAAGCCCTCAGCGAGGCAACATGAAAATCATGAAACGTCTCCAAGGCCGAAAGTGCCCCGAACACTCGGGGACTAATGCCAAAATCTCAAAAATCACATGACCCCAGGGTCGGAATCGCCAAAATCGTAACCCCTCAATGAGGCAATACCAAGTTTACAAGTAATGGCTCCCGAGTCAAGAAACCCTCGACGACTCGGGGACTACCGTCAAGCGCCACCTCCATCGATTTATCAAAACCTGAGGTCATAAGGCCACATGCGGGCAGCCTCGGTCTTGTAAGACCTACATAAGGCAATAGCAATATCTGTAAGACCTCAAGAAAGGCATGAACACTATTTGTACCAAGTATCCAAAACTGTAAGACCTCAAAGGCATGTAAAACTATAAGACCTCCAAGGCATGTAAACCTTGTAAGTGCTCATTAAAGGAATAAGCCTTATCTTAAAGTTTTGGCTATATATCAAACTTGTAAGACCCCTAAAAAGGCATACCCTCGATATAGATGCTGAAACTACTTCACTCGGGACTTAAAGGCTCCGGCCGAACACAAATGACTCCGGTCACAAGGCTGTACCAGCCGAACTAACGCGACTCGGGGATGCCCGACCGTCACTACAAAATCACAGGCCTTCAATTACTTCGAATCTACTTCGAAAAAGAATCGGTTAAACAGGCTACCCTCGATATAGGCAAAAGAGCTTCGACCATGTCACCTCCAAATCACAGGCTTTGAGATACTCAGCCTCTGAGCCAAACCTCCCGAGGTGCTCGATTATCGCCATATAATGACTCGTAATCGAGGTTTTTATCGAACCATCAAAGAGTCAGGCAAACATTATTCCAAAAAGTCCTTTACGAGGGAAAAATAAAGCCAATAAAAGGTTGCTTCGACCCAAGGTGTAAGATCCATTGTCGCCAGCCCACACTAAAAGGCCGAATCGGCCTAAGGCGTAAGAGCCATTGTTGCCAACCCGCACAAATACAAAACTTGAGGGTTGAATGAGCTCGATTCGAAACTTGATTCGGAGACTGAACCCAAAATAGTTAACTAAATATGCCTAAGAGCAAGGTGTAAGAGCCATTGTCGCCAGCCCACACTAAAAGGCCACATCGGCCCAAGGCATAAGAGCCATTGTCGCCAGCCCGCAAAATACAAAACTTGAGGGTCGAATGAGCTCGAGTCGAAATCCGAGCGATTGTTGCCAGCCCGCACAAATACCAAACATGAGGGTCGAATGAGCTTGAGTCAAAATCCGATTCAGAGACTGAACCCAAAATAGTTAACTAAATACGACTAAGAGCAAGGCGTAAGAGTTGTTGTCGCCAGTACACATAAAAGGTCGCATCGACCAAGCGCGTAAGAGCCTATGGGCTAGCCTAATGAGCACCAGGGCCATATCACGAACCTAAGGATTCCTACTAACTCAAAGACCAGTTTGCCTAGCCAAATTCGAGACAAAAAGAGATATAGAAGAAATAAAGCCGTAAGGTTTTCTTTTATACACATATACAAAAAAACGCAATCTCCATCTACAAACATTCTTTGAAAATGCTATATACAGATGGAAAAATCTACGCCCCTTGGGAG